GGCGACGTCTATCTGTTCGGTGAAGCGGTTCGCGTGCCTCTCGTAATCGCTTGTCGTTCAAATTACGTAGCTGGATTTCGTAAAAATATTAGAAGACCGCGCTCGCCACATAATTTCCGCTAAATGGACGACATCTATTTAGAAAGTAGGCAATTTCCTTTCTCCGTGGTTCCGCTGCACGTTGTATTCTCTTTGCCTCTGTCTTCCCCCCGATCTTTGTCCCTGAATGCGCTATTTGTTCGCCACGAATTTGCAAATTATCGGTGATTTACGACGCGCGCGTTTCCTTCTTCTTCTTCGCACGCACGCACGCACGCACGCTGACCAGATACGACGCTGTAGAAGTGCAACACACGGAGACGCTAAAGATGCTCGTTAGCTTGTCGGAGATCGGTTTTGGCCGTGAACAACGTGTATACGACAGTCCGTGATAGAAGTCGGCTTTTCCGATCGGGAAAAAGAAAAAAAGAAACGCGTTGCATTTTGCTAGCAAAGGCAGGCGACAGGAGGAGAATGGCTCTCCCTCGGGAGAGATCGCGGCTTTATACAGCCAGTTGACATCGAAATCCAGTGACGTATCTAATTGAGAGCAGTTTAACGGCGAGGGCGGATCAGTAGGATAAGCCGTAAGCCGACGAAGCCGCTGCACGAGATCACCCTAGGCTTATAACTGCCGGGGAATCTTCTTCGGACCTCTCTCTTCCAACTACCCTCCTGCATCGTGGTTCTGCTACGCCAAGGGTATTGCGGCTCGTGATACGACAGCCCTCTTGCCGTCCTTCCAGCAGACCGACTCTCTCTTCTCCCCTTGCTGCCTCTCACCCTGGCCTCGCGTGCCCCCAGCTGCTACCCTCGCCTATCTACCAGAGAATCCGGCGTAAATAATGCCGATTATCCCCCCGGCAATTGTTTTATCGACCGAGCTGTCCCGCTCGAAGAGCAATCTCGAAAGAGGGTGGCCCCGTTCCGCGCCTCACCTCCGACCTTTCCCCGAATCCCATTCCACTGACCTTACACAGATTTACGAGCCGCTTCGCGGAGGGTGAAGACTCGAAAAGTAAATTTCCCCGCTCGTTCGCGTAACCTCTCGCTCCGGAGAACGGCAAGAGACTCGCGCAACGTCCGTTTCGACGAGGACGTCGCGTTCCATCGCGCGATCCCGCTCGCAGACGTCGCGCATTCTCGCCAAGATGAGTTACCTGACGCCCCGTCGACGCGCGCCAGGAACATCTTCTCGCTCTGCCGCGTCTTCTAATGGAAACGACGAAAAAACGTATCGCGGAGTAATTCGACCGCCCCGTTCGAGATAACGCGCGGATACATCGCGCCGCGTAGATCGTGGATAACGAGCGCGTTTATAATTTTCGAAGGGTACCCTTTAATAGTTTCGGTTTGATCGAATCTGCGAGCTCCGCTTCCTTCGCGGCTTAATGTAATTCGCCGAGCCGTTCGCTTTTTGTCTGCTCGCCTCTTCCTCCCTCCCACCATCGGTTAATTATGAAATTATCCAGAAACAGCCACTCGCCCTCTCTCTCTCTCCCTCTCTCTCTCTCTCCTTCCTCCAGCCTCTTGAGGCAATATTTGAGCGCGAATTATGCCGGTACTCTCTTCGTCCTCCTCATTATCCCTTCCTACCCTTTTCCTTTCTCGCCATTAGCTGTCTCGTCCCACCCTCGTACGTCCGTCCCCCTCTTTCTTCGTTTCTTCCGCTTCCATTCACCTTACCACCCCGTGTCTGCCGCCTTCTTCAGCCACCGGAGAAGCTTGATTCGGTTAACGGGTGCAGACGAACGCGACTCGACTTCCATCCGTTCCGACTTGGTAACGTTCGCGCGACATCATCCGCTTATTTCGAGCGTGGTTCGCAAACTCGATTAATATTCTCGCAACGACACGACGACGCGACGCGACGCCACGCGACGCCACTCTCCGGCCGTCTCCTCTCTCGCTAATTTTCCACCTTCGATCGCGATAGCCGATCGTAACGATACGCGTTCCTTTCGCCTCTCGTCGCGGTGATTTCGGTCAACGGGGGTGGAACTGGGTCACGCGGCGGAAACGAACGAAACAGAGACCGGAACGATCGTCCGTTGATTGCCGCGCGCGCGTCCACCCTTCTATTCGATCGCTGCCTCCCTCCCTTTCTTCGTCCGGTCGATCCCAACGACCGAATAAGTCTGGCCAATTAAAAAACTAATTTCGATTAGAGTCCCCGAGCGGCCATTCGATATCGTGTAAGTACAAGCCGCGGGGCGCTCGTCGAGAGGGATGAAAAAAACTGGGGGAATCCGACGCTGCCGCGCCATTCGGAAGGGCTAAGAAAAAATAAGGAGGAACCGGGCAATTTGTGCCAGTTTTCACGGCGGAATTTTTACGAGCGACCGTTATCGGGAGCGGTAGCTAGGTAGGAAATATCCTTTAGCGGTGGCTGGCACGCGCACGCTTTTCTCTCGATTAATCCCATCTCGCTGCTCTTATTTTGCCCCGCCGCCGGGGAAAACGGAACGGCTGTCGCGACGCGATCGCCATTGCCGGTTTCAAACCCTTGGTAGGAAAGCGTGCGTGCGTGCGTGCGTGCGAGCGAGCGAGCGAGCGAACGTGCCGTAAACACACGTTTCTAAAATACGTTTGGTTCCGCGACGGTGGTTTATCGAGCAAAAAATCCGCAGAATTTTCCACGATTCCCCAGGGGCCTCCCAGGCGAATCGCTCCACAGATATATTTATTTATGCGCGTATTAGTATTTATGTAGGTGCGTACCTACAGGC